GATCGAAAACGTGTCTCAAAAAATACCTTTACATCATTTTTCCGATTATTTTTTTCAGCTCGTAACGATAGAATCAGTCAATTTAGAACTAACATGTATGCTATCGGAAAGCATTTTGGCACAATTTTACTGAAAAGACGAGTTTTTCATTGCTCATGAATATTAATTTATGCAAATAAGACGATTATTTCAACCAATCGTGTCATGCAACTCCCCCCTGTGCTCAGCCGAATCATTTACTGTCTATCACCTGATGATAAAAGCAAACTTACATAATACCCCACAGTGCCATAGTGATGCCAACCAAGATGGCGATGAAAGCATCCAAGAACCAAATTCCTACTAATGCGTATGCTATTGTACTTGCCAACATGCTATACCCAGTGATAGCCCCCATTGCAGAACTAAAAGCTAGAATGTACACATAAATCAACGAGTGAATAATTAATTAAATCAATCATTGATAATATAATTATTGGTAAACGAACACACAACGCGGGATTCGAACTCGATATCATGGTAAAGCGCTTTGCCGCTGCATGAAAACCGACGCTCAAACGAGCGTGTAATGAACATGACCCTACAGTGACTAGTCGGTAATGTAAATTTCGAACTTTACAAATAACATGCAGTATAAAACCATGTATTCATGAACAATTCTGTCCACCATTATTGACAATTATAAATAAGAGAATCAATTAATTAATTAATTAATTAATTAATTAATCTTACCATCACAATACATGCTCTTGGAATGTAATCTTCTTGCTATAGTTAATTTTATAATTGTTAAAATAGTGGTTACTATGGCACCCGCGGTACTTAATGTTGTTAACAATATAAGCTGTGGACAAATCAAATAATTGTCGACATAATGAATGACGGGTGAGGGCGCAATAAATCTCGACTGAAACTGGAACATAGGATATGTTTGTGATGATCTACCAGTGCGACTGATAAAATCGTTCATGCTGTATTTTATTTTGTGAGTTTGGCGATTGCGTGTGGACACATACCGATGTTACTTTATCTTGACATATAAGTGTCACCACGCCTTTACAAATAATAATCGCAGAAAACGCGATAAACATGCATCCTAATACAATGATGGTCCTGCAATGAACAAGAGTTTATTGTTAGTAGGGTACATTTGGTACGGTTTTAGTAATGGGACATTATTTGAGAGGCATAAACAAGTTGTCGTTGCTCTCTCACTTTAAACGAGATCTCGTGGCCCTCTCATTCTAAACGAGATCTTAACGGCCATTTCAAGTTGAATCTAGATGTTTTTTACTACCACTACCAGGCTCCCGTGGTCGGTTTGCCGTGAGATCACTGATCGCGTGATATGGTGAGAACTGTATCTTCTGCCCAAAACATGCTACAAATTATTTAAACGTTTATTTCTATTTAAACTTGAAAACTCCATTTTTTCGGTAATACTAGTACTTGTAACCAAACGTCCATTAGCTTAACAAAAACCGTGTTTCTTATTTCTTCGTTTTACAAAAAAAGAAAACAACTGGCTAAAACGTCCAGTACCATTAAGTTTCAATAATTTTTCCCTGATACCAATAACTTCTTGCCTCGCGCAAATGTTACTTCAAATACAGGGTAGAAAACGTGCTGTTTCGCGCAGAAAATTGAAAACTTTTCAAATAATGGAACTTCTTTATGTTATAACTAGAAATCTCGCAAAAATCACATGACGTACAGCGCGAGATTTCGAACAGGAAAACGAAAATGACCTACTTGTTTTCTTTATCGCTCGATCCCAGTGTTACAGATTTCCCGGAAAACCTCCAAAGGATAACCCCGGATGACAAGACATCTAATATCATATCAAACTGTGGAGTAAATTAATTATGATAATAGAACAGTTTTATGAATACTCCATAATTTCATAACCCCCCCCCCCCCCAGCGACGATGCAGTATTTTCCCATTACAGATAAATACAGATCAAAAGATTTTCGTCACATAAACGCCTTGCCATTAGAGGGCGCAAAACTGTGCAATTGTTAATACATTTCTATCGTTTGCGAAGAAAATAAATCATGTAGAACTTTATAGCGAAACGGTACTTAGAGTGATGGTGGACGAAACGATTAAAGGGAGAAGGTCGTCACCTGCGCACGCGCAGTAAGTGACGATAACAACGCTTGCTAAAAACGCAAAGGTTCATGGGTAGACGCTTATTCGTAAATAACGATGCGCCATGGCCGTCTGCCGCGTGCGTAGGTGACGAGTCCCCCGCTTTAACATCCACCATGCGTCATCTCACTAAAGCCGACGATACCGCACATGCGTATGGTAAAATGTCCCTAATGTGGCCGACTTACCGATAGACTCAATGCTGCTGCACTGTCAGTGTAGAATGATATTACTGAAACAAAATAAAGATACTGTGACGTACATTGCTTGTAAGATTTCCTTGTTGAGCCGAAGTGTCTGGAAATTATTGAGTAACTTGCTTAAAACAACAGTGTTTAATCCCCAATAACGCTGAGAAAAAACAAACCTAATGCTGGTGGTATTATGTTTGCAAAGGAGGTATGCATTTTGGCTGTCTAGAAAGGATGGGGATCTTGAGATACTGAACGAACGCCATGTCATTTTGGAGCATCCATTCCACGGTCCACTCGCGATTCAGACCCATTCTTCCGGTTAAAACGGTAAGTGTCAAATTTGAGTGTTCTAATACTGTTGCAAACAACTTCCATTGGCATCACAAATTGACTAGATCTGACCCCTTCTAGAATATAATTGTTTCTATATCGTCGTTTTGCATATATACCTAACTGGGCCTCAATGTAATATACACACATCGTGTCAGGTCTCGTGCTTGAGATACTTACAAAGAAACGCTATTGCGAATAATGATAGTATGCTTATTGTTGCTATGGAAACGTAAATGATAGCTTTTCGCCAATATTCATGTTCTTCTTCGGTTAAAAATATGTCATTCACTGAAAAAAAACGAGTTTGATTTAAAATCATGAATATAAATATATGTATTTTTTTAGCATCGTAAAGTTTGTTTTAATTCAGATCTCAGAACTGAATCTAGAGTTCGTTCGTTTGTGCGGGGTTTCACAAAAGTGGCGATAGGTTTGTTATTTATTAACTCCAAGCTCACTGAAAACAACAATTAAATGAACAGCAATTCCACGTATGTAACATTTAAGGCCATGACATTATCGTAAGTTGTCATAATATTACATAAATTATACACAATAGACGTTAGCTGTTTCAGTGTCTTCTACTCTTATATTAAATGCTAGTCTAAAAGTCAGTTGCCTCGAAACATATGCGCACATCGCCCTCTCGCGACAGTACCTTGTATAAGTTCTTTGCCTTCTGGGTTTCCGTGCGTGTCGTATGACGTATCTGGTGTAAAATCTGTCAATTTCAGTCGTTCGTTGTCAGGGGGTATTGCAGATGTAATACCATTATTGGTTACATCACGGGGCATATCTGAGAATCTAGAAGAATAATACACAACATTTATTGACGTTGTAAGCAATCTGGATTACATCACGGACATATCTGAGAATCTAGAAGAAAAAAATATACAACATTCAGTGACGATGTAATCGGTCCAGATTAATAGTATATCACATGCATATATGAGAATCTGGGAGAAATGTACACAACTTTCAGTGACGTTGTAAGCAATCTGGATTACATCACGCATATCTGAGAATCTAGAAGAAAAAAATACACAACATTCAGTGACGATGTAATCGGTCCAGATTAATAGTATATCACATGCATATATGAGAATCTGGGAGAAATGTACACAACATTTGACGTTGTAAGCAATCTGGATTACATCACGGGCATATCTGAGAATCTAGAAGAAAAAAATACACAACATTCAGTGACGATGTAAAGCAATCACGGGGCATATCTGAGAAACTGGAAAAAAACATACACAACATTCAGTGACGTTGTCAGCAATCTGGATTACATCACGGGGCATACTAGTATCTGAGAATCTAGGAGAAATGTACACAACACTTAATGACGAAATAAGCATTCTGGATTATATCACTGGGCAGTATTTCTCAGTATTTCTTTTTGACCGTGGCGATATTTTATATCACAATCATCATTGGTGTATAATAGGAGAGAATAGAGTTTGAAACACGCCGCGCCATTGCATAATCCTCGAACTATAATGACCTCTAGCCTACTCCAACAAGTAATTGAACTGTACTATTTATACTGGTCTATAAGGTGATATGTTGTACACATCTTGAGGTGCAATATCCACATGAAACTGCCCGTGACTATATCAACCTGTATAGGAAAAGACATTCACGTGTGTGTTTCGTGATTACACACCGTAATAAGCGCCAATCATGAGACGAGCAACTAGTTAGCGATCGCCTACAATGACGTAATTGGAAATATTTCATTTATTTATAGATGACAATTCGTTTACAGCTGGTACCGCAATTTCAAATATATTCGTCACTCAACAGCGTTAATACTCACATATATTTTTGAAAAAAAATCCCGAATTTCTCGCAAGTTTCAATGTGTTCAAAGTAATAAAATTGAAGTGAATATATTTTTTTTTCATTCAAGATAATCAAGTAATCCAATTGTTGATACCAGAGACGAAGGTCGTCTTCTTCAAGTTGCCAGGTGAGAACGTGTTTTTTTTTCAAAATCTTATTTTAGGCCACCGACAACTTTGACGTAAGTTAACATCACACATTTCCATGAATCGCGCCCTCTAGTGTTCAATCGCTTCTATGAGGTACTAGTAATTGAATGACAGTCGTCAAACATTGAATATTATGTTTTTGAGAAATTTAACTTTATCTCAGATGATGAATGCCAGCTTACCAAACACAGTGTCTGATCTGAATGAGATTGCCTTTACCCATCATTTCATTTTCATTTGACTTCTATTTTTTCTTCTTTGCCCTCCGAATCTAATTAGGTTCAAGTTTTCGGGGGAAACCAATGTTCAAGTAATTATTATAAATTCGGCATACCATCAGTGCTATAATATTCATAGATGTAAATTACCGGGAAAATGGACGGGTTTTCGATCTCCAGGATCTCCCTCGTCAAAGATGTTGTCTGTACGCTGGTAAGGGACTGTGGGTACACCATTCAGTTGATTCTGTGGCGGGTACATCTAGTGATGAAATGGTGTGTGTCAGCGTTGGATGAAACAAAAACCTAGTCTATATTCTGTGTGACAGAATAGATATTACAAATATTAAAATTTAAAAATAATTTATATGAAACAATTTACCATCATCCTGATTTCTTTTTCTTAAAATATCATTTTGCATAATTAATATCCCAATGGCTGGTATTTATAAATGTTTAATATAAATATTCCACAATATATGTACTTCTAAGTCAAATGATTGTTATACGCTGTTCGTATTACAGTGGGTCACCGTGACACAAACCTGTTGTAATAAGGTCTAATGAATATTTGTTCTAATCTTCCTGTAAACTAGCATGTACATCGTTTCTTATTATAACAAACGTGCCCCTTTGAATAATAAGCTTAAAGGGCGGTGGTCGTCGCGCAGCGCGTGTTCGAATTTCATGTAAATAAACAATGTATTTTACACGCGTTGTAGACGTCGCTGTCAGTTCCATATCGAACAGGACGCGGCGCGACGACTGCCGCCCTTTAATATCTGCCAATCTAAAAACAGAGGATAGGGACTAGTTATTTACTACTCACTATGCCTGCTGCCATGGAAGGCATTAATAGACTGGTTTTCTGGAAATATACCATTAACTCCGATCAGGTTATATACGCGGCCATTCTTTCATCGCGGCCATTTAAATTGCCTTATGATCTTCGTCCTCAGAATTGTTTTCAACCCCCTACTTTACAAATGAGATACAGGGATACTTCCAGTAGTAATGACATGTTTTTGTTTATAATAATCGCGATTGCATGACGTCATGTTGAGTGAGTATTATGCTAATTATTGAATAAAACGAGACATTGTCCTATACCGGCAAATAATGAGATATTTGGAGTAGGTTCATAGCAGGGGATTTTCTAATTACGAGTAAATTGCATATTGTGTCAAACTATTAAAATTACTATCGGACTGCGTGTGATTAGTGTATTGTGGGCGAATTTGTCAGTTTTGCCAAAGTATGTATACAAGGCAAAATTTGATACGTCGAAAAATGGTGTCAACAAATAAGCTTCTCTTTGATTGGTCTGACCCTTAAACGTTAGGGTTGGGTAGCCAATAAAACAGAATCTTGTAAGTAGTCTCGCATTGGCTTGAATACAATTGACATTTGAATATTCATTGATATACTTATTATTATACGTCTTTTCCTTCCAAGGATACATCATGGGAATGCCGAAATCCAAAATGTTTAGAACAGAATTAGCAAACTGTTTTGTCCGGTGGAGTCCGTTAAACTCTGGTGGCAGCCATGTTTGTTTTCATTATTTGAGGACGCTTACGCGTGTAATCATTACATATTTGGAATTCGCATTTCCTAACATGGTAAGATGAAAATACCCCGTAAAATACCGCAAAATTACGACACGCTGTAACTTATGGCGTTACGATGACAGATGTTTAATAAATGTTATTATTCTTATAAAAGGGTGTTCTTTAAAATTATTTCAAATACTTCCGATAATAATAGCAGACGATACCAGCAGACGTGTCATAGAGTCAAGGGTCAGATAGACAAATCATGTCAACATGGATATAGATGAGTTTTACAGTGATATAAACGGTTACAGTTCACTGCAAATAAAAGTCCCCATTCACACAAAATGTGTGGTGAGAAATGTAACATTTTTTTATAAGTATGGCTATGACGTCATCGGAATATATGAACTTTGTTCATATATTCGTGCTTACAGGTGAAGGTCGTTTAGTGAAAGCAAAATGTATCATTTTGTTTGTTTTAACCGTATTATTAAAAACATATGTGATATACACATTGCATACGTCGCATTGACCCACGTCGAACACCGTGACGGCGCTGCGTTGTATGGCCACTGTCATTTAAAGCAGGGGGGTCGTCATCTGCACACACGCGCGTACCAAGCGACCAATTGAGTACCAAGCGACGATAACAACACACACCAAAAACGCAAACGTTGAAGGCTCATAGGTAGACGCTTGTTTGTAAACAATGACACGCCATGGTCATTTGACACATGGGCAGGTGGCGACTCGCCCGCTTTAATTTGGACAAAGTTAGTGATTTTAAAAAGAAACAGTGCAAAATTTGACAATTTTTTTAAGAAACAATGTTTCTATGTAAATGCATTATTTTATTAAAACAAATAGTAATTATATTGACGCAAAACTTGACCCCTCCCCCTCCCCCAATGGGCAGCAGATGAGTTGTGAACTGTACAATAACGAGTGGTATCCCCTACTTCAGTTGGCGTTACGATTCCAGTCTGGGAAACATAATCAACGACACGTTCTGGTACGTTCGGAGTCAAATACATTGATTGGGTCCTGGAACTAGTAAATGTAACATGTTGTGGTCAAGCTTTGAGTGATTTTATACCATCATAGTAAACTTATGATTGTTTTTCTTTCTATGTTATGTGTGAGTCATAATTCAATTTAATTTAACCATAAATTAAAACAGGACATCTTCTAATCATTCTTCATTTATGGCACTGATGTAATTGTATTTATACCAACCACAGGAATATGGTTTATCCACTGTATTGATAACAATTAATGATAAATTGCAAATAATGTGCAATTTTGATTTCACCAACTTTTTGTGAAAAACGCATGCACTTCTTATTTGTAGTCATTTACTTGATTGCAGTACTGTTTTTTTTTACTTGATTGCAGTTCTTTATTCTGTTACTTGATTGCAGTTCGTCATTTTATTTACATGATTGCAGTTCTTCATTTTTCACTTGATTGCAGTACTGTTTTTACTTGATTCCAGTTCTTTATTTTATGTATATGATTGCAGTACTTTAGTTTTTTATTCACTTGATTGCAATTCTTCATTGTTTTACTTGATTACAGTATTGTTTTTGTTTTTTTTACTTGATTGCAGTTCTTTATTTTTTTTTTTATGATTGCAGTGCTTCATTTTATATTTACTTGATTGCAGTTCTTCATTTTTCACTTGCATGTGATTAGTGTATTGCGGGCGAATTTGACAGTTTGGCCAAAACATGTATACAAGGCAAAATTTGACACGTCGAAAAAAGCTGTCAACAAATAAGCTTCTCTTTTATTGGTCTGCCTCTTGAGCGTTAGGGTTGGGTAGCCAATAAGACCCTGGTGGCAGCCATATTTGTTTTCATTATTGCAGTTCTGTTTTTTTATTCACTTGATTGAAATTCTTCATTTGTTTTACTTGATTGCAGTTCTTCATTTTATTTATGATTGCAGTGCTTCGTTTTTTATTTACTTGATTGCAGCACTTCATTTTTTAGTAACTTAGTATTTCAGCGCTTTTAATTTTTATTTACTTG